GATATAGGGACTCACATTTCTTGAGATTTTTACTTGCATAATTTCTCTTCGTACATAATTCCAATACCTGTTTCAGCTATTTTTCAAACTTTTATTAGTACGTCTCTTAAATAAAAATCATTTTCGGTGATAATACACTCGTCTGTATTCAAAGTTGTTTTTCTAAATCTTTTTTTTAATTTGATCGATACAAAATTCTTTATTCTTTGATTGTCTGAATCTGTAAACTTGTACTTACAGATTTTCATTCTTTACTCCCACATATTCTGAATAATCTGAATTGTACATCACTCGTTGTTGATTGTACTTAATTGATACATTTTTCTTGATCAATTTTATCTGATCATTTGAGCTTCATAGCAATAATATCTTTGATCAATCGTTTGTGATCAAATGAGCTTACACTGTTAATCTTAGGAGGGACTGAGTGCTTCACTAAAATACCTCTATAGACTATCAGAACCGATAGCCCTACCCAAGAGGACATCCATATTTGAGTGAGCTTAAATGCAAAATGGGTTTGTGTGCAGAGCTTAAAATGAAAATGAGAGGGGTAGTTATTGTGAGCTAAAAGAATTGATGAGAGTTGTGTCATGATTAAAAGGTTAAAAGAATCTTGTTTTATCTTCTATAATCCGGGCAAACCACGAAATCTATTAGTTCTCAAATCTTTGGAGACTAATATTGAAAAAGGCAAAGCCCAGGCCAATTTTTGTTACAACCCCACTAGCTACTCATTTATCTCTTAAAAGATAATCATTTCAATATAACTTGAAACACACAGCTCACAATCTATCAGTTTCTCATTTAGAGAAAAATGATATTGAAAAAGAAGGATATATGTCCCCCCCCCTTAAGTCTTTTTTATTACAAATTGAGTCTGATAAATTTGTGTAGTCCACACTGTTTATTTTTTTTAGCCTTATTAGAAGTGTTAGTTGCTATATCCTTTTTACAGTACACAAATTTTGCAATATATTTGTTATTTTGCAATAACATTCATAGATATGCTTTTTATAAGCTATAGATAATTGAATGGAAGTCCTGCTAAGATAAACCTTAAAAAGTCTCATATATGAAGTACATTCGTAGTACTGAATATATATGTTATATTCACAGGCCAATCTTTTATAAGATTGAAAACAAATTCATAAGTTAAATTTGGTTATTTCCCTCATCTTCATAATTTGAAAAGATTATAAGAGCCAATTTGAAAATATTTTCTTATCATTTTATGAATTGACGGCATACGTTTATTTTTCATTCATTTTGACGTAGATGCAAATGCTTCTCATTTCATCATAAGGGAGAGTAATATAATGAATGATAATTTCTACATCAATTATGAAGATCGGGAGTTTGCAAAAGACTCAAGAAGTGAAAGGAGTGAATGTGACAACTGCTGTTGTTTATCGCTGAAGATTATTCTTATGCTACAATGTTGACGAAGTTGAATGTGAAGATCTCATCTTAACAAAAATTTATTGGAAGATATTTCAAGTTGGGAGAATGTTTAGTCTTCAAAAGGAAGAATGTTATGAATGTTTCAGAAGAAGTTCTTGAAGATCATATCTTGAAGATTATTTCTGAAGACTGTTGCTGTTTCAGTTCTTCATCAAATGGAGAGATTTAAAGTAAAAGAGAAGATTGTTTTGCTCTACATTCGAGGGGGAGAATGTTTGGAAGATGTTCTCAAGAGAAGATTATTTGAAGAATATCAAGAGGAGAATGTTAGAAGATTGTCTTGAAGTTTTAAAAGAAGACTTAAAGGTGCTTAAAGCTTCAAAGATTCCAAAGAGATTCAAAGTGTACAAATTATTTCAAGTCTAAATCCAAAGGGCGAGAATGTTAGGATTGAATTTTACAAATTTAATTGTATTTATTCTTGAAAGATTGATTTTATATATCCTGTATTTGACTTTGACTTTTGTATTTTAGTTTGACCTATAAATAGGTTTAGTTTAGTGAGTGTTTAGGGTAAGAGAGCTTAATTGTAATAATCCTTGTGTATTAGAGCTTTAATGAAATAATACATACATTGACCACTTGACTTTTTCTCTCAAAGTTCATATCTTGAATATTGCCATTTATAGAGTTCTTGATTGAAGATTGATTGAAGATTTGGGACACACAGATTGGATCCAAAACAAATCTTCAATGGGCTATTCAGCTCCAGGTATGAATGGAAAACAACATCTTTATTGGTTTTGTTGGTTCTACTTCCTATTTTTTATGAAGAGAATGAATTTTTTATTGAAGGATCAGAAAAAAAGGGTTCGGATCTCTTGTGGGAATGATTTGGAAGAGCCAAAACAAAAAATAGTGGTATTTGCTAGCAACAACATAATGGAGGCAGTCAATCGATATAGATTGAACCAAAAAATGATTCAAATCCAACATAACAGCCATAGGTACATAAGAAATGTATTGAATCAATTCATTTTTAATGAATAGATCCGATCACTACTTCGAATATGGAATTCGAAGGGATCAAATAGGAAAGGATACTCTGAATCTGTGACACCCCAACTTCCACATTTGCATATAACATGTACTTCATTCAAAATAAATACAATTTACACCACAAAGGTCCCACTAGTACAAGAAACTTATATACATAATTTACAACTCAAAAATTCGAAAGGAATGTTCTTGTACAATCATATGCATCTTCAAAATACATCAAGTAGCAGGTTGATCTTTGATAAGTGTGCAAAAGGATATACCTTAGCACCAAATTATGTCTTTATTTCACTTCATTTTACACCTTTCCCAATTCTATATCAAGTTTAGTCTTATCTTATGGTTTTACATTCAATGGATCTAGGATGCAGAAATGGTAATGTCTTATATATTTGGTGAATAAAATGGTAACGTGATCATTGTTGTAGCAGGTGTACAAGTTGCTGCAGCACTGGACGCTGATATTGGCACCCCAAGGCTCAATCGTGTTGAAGAAATGGAAAGTCAAGATTTTTGAAGAAGCATTTGTAAGTACCCTTGGAAGTTGACTTAGATAGATGATGCCTCTGCAAGATGCCTTAAGCATCTTGTACTTAAGCATCTTTTTTTTGACCCATGGGTAATAACCCTTTTTGTACTTTTGATTCTGTTGGGTTTAAGATTAGTGCTTAAATGTTGTATTCAAGTTTCTCCATTTACTTAGTTTTATTGTAATTAGTTTAGCCTTATTTTCTTTAGTATAAATAGTCTTTTCATTGTAATTGTAATGACACAATTGATTACATCATTAATCAGAGAAAAAGGTGATTTGACAGCAATTATTCTCTCTCTCCAATCTATCTTGAATTCA